CTCAATCGCAGGTTAAACAGCAAACATACACATGGTCTTGATTAATGGAACCTCCTTGTACCAGCAAGTGCACAGTAGCAACGAAGCAGTGAGATGCTCGGACATTTATTTTTGAGCAAACTGAACTAACTGATGATAATAAATGGCTCTGCTGCCAAATTCCCATCAGTGTGCTGTAATATTTATTTGTTCAAGTTATTAACTTTCCCTAGCTCTTTGACCTCCGCCAACCCTCCCCCTGCTCTGCTCCAATTTTCTTGTTCCCTGTTCTACAAGCAATAGCCATTTGAGTCCATGTATTCCTCTAAACATAAATAAATCTTAGTGTACGATTTTGTTTGGCTGCAGATTGTGTAAACACTTGCACACAGATGAACTTCACCTAACACTTGCTCAGGCCACGGCTTACTTCTGTACTTTTTCTCTGAGGGATGCTTTTCCGACAGTCAATCGGCCATTTTGCCACAGTCGAAGTCGCTGCCTTTTAAAAGTTATCTCCATCGGTTAGAATTAGGGCGGGTAATTCCAGCTTGCTCGCTTTGCTGTTTTGACACTTTAGATATAAGCCTTGTGAATGTATGTCATCTTTCCTGCTTATCCTTATAATCAGGATCCACACATGTATTCAGTTATTAGAGAAACCAGATTAAACAAACTTGATATACATTATTTAGAGAGTTTAGAGGCGCTGATATAGGTTTAGTTAACTTAGAAACCGGCTTTTTGTTTTCCCCTGTTTCCAGTCTTAATGCTAAGCTAAGCTAACCGGCTGCTGCAAATACAAATATTTCCAGAAATCCCTTTTAAAACAGCGATAAAGGTGCAATGAAGGAATATGTTCACACTTATGTAAATGTGGGCTGCATTCACATAGTAAAGCATTGCAGCAGGTCCTTCATTTGAGTTCATGTGCAGCTATAAAAATGTTAGTTTGAGTTTTAAAAAAGCTTATGGTAACTGCACAAGTGTTACAGCTACTGTCAGTTTATTCAGCTTTACTTCATGAATGTGGCTGATGTGTATGTTTTCTGAGGAAACCTTTTAAAACTCTTACACATAGCCCCTGAGGGAGGATAAACTAATTTGAGGTTTAAAAAAACATTCTGTAACTTGAAAAAATAAACAGCAGCACTCAAGTACAACTGCAGTCCAGTAAACGTAGCTGCCTGATTGAGTTCATGTTTACTCAACTGTCCCCCTCTAATAAATCTAATCTCACTGTCAATCTCAGATCTCAGTGCAACACGTACTATTAAAGGGTATATTCCATTAGCCTTTGCCTCCTTTATCTCTTTTAATAACATGTCAGAGGGCTGAAAAAATAAGTTTGCAAGGAAGCTTGTTAGAGAGTATGGCTTCTGCATAACACCTGCTAGAGCTCGCGTTACAATTCTCTTCAAATTAAACATCATTTTGGGGTTTTAATTTGGAGAGAATGTTCTAATATGATTGAAATGTTATCTGTTTAACGGCCCAGGCTGAGCAACCACCAACAGCGTTAACCCATGAACTTGTGAATGTGCTTCCCATGTGGGACCTCTTAATGGAATTTAGAGTATCACCACAGGCCTGAGTTATAACCTGCTCTCTGACTGCAGGAACACTTCCGCGCAGTTCCTGTTCTTCATTTATAAAGTTAACGGCTTTTACAACCAGCAATGACACAGCCCGTGATAACTCACTCTCAGTGCTGTTTTTCTTCTTCTATATTACCAACCGCAGGCCCTTGTCCCCGCAGCTTGTAGAGGTGATGACATTTTATCTTAGACAAACACTCAGCTTCCTTTCAGAGCGCTGCTGCAGCTCCAGGTCCTCTGCACAGTAAGTCGGGGGTGCACAGCCTCATGGAGAGACAGAGAAAATCCACATTCCTTACTGAATGCAATTTCAAGACATTTGAAGCTCAACTTTCTCTCACTCACTAAATCTGACATTGCGTGTTTCAAACGAAGTTGCATGTGCTTTAGAAAGTGATTGATGAACAGTTGTTCCATTAGTGCAGAACTTCTGTGTCTAAAATAACTGCAGAACATAATTTGCCAAACCACAAACAGTCATTTTTCTGTTTCTGTTTGAACAAATGAAATGCAATACTTCATGAGATGTTGTAGTGCTGTTAGTGTTTTTAAAATTTTGACTAAATCAGGCAAGCTGTTGTGGTTTGCTTCCAGTAGTTATGCTAAGCTAGGCTAAGCTAACCACCTCCTCACCCTAGCTTAATGTTTAATGCATTGAAAATGGTATCAATCTTCTTATACAAATCTTGTGGAAACAAAGCCAATTAGTGGTGTCAAAGCTAATGTATAAACTCTTTACGGATAGCTTTTCTCTCACTGGAAGCTTTTGTTTCGCAATGAACTAACCATATGATTTGCTATAATTGTCCCTCAGATGAAACAAAGTAAACTGAGCCACATTTTCTCATGACATGAAGAATGAAATCCTCAAATAGCAGGCGGTTACCACAGCCAACTGACATTGTGATGTCAAAGAAACAGCTGCATAAAGTTAAATAGTATCTGGAGATTCCTCCAAAGACTGATTCATGATACCTCCAGACTAAAATACCTTCTGATTGTCTGTTTAGATGTTGACTGGCTTCCTATAGAATGTAACAATGCTAACACATGCACAGACATGGGCATGAAAACAGGATGACACCTGACAACCTTGGAACAAAAATGTGTCTGTGACGAAAATATGTCAATGTAGAGCGGAAGTGTAAACAGGATTTGACATTCATTTTAAATGAAAGACCTTGTTGTGATATAATGCTAATCGCCTTAGGCAACGATAAGCAGCTTTTTACTCATGGCCGGGGCACTTCCTATTTACCATTTCAAATATAGTTTTCGTCACAATAATACAGTTGGCGCAAGAGGAAAGGATTCATGGTTTGTCACGTCTAATTAATGACAGGAAGAAAGGGTCTGGATGTTAAATATTGTCGTATCCTGTTTGGGTCGGATGTCCAGGTGGTCCAACATGACTAAAATCATATTACATCATCTCCCAGAAGCCTTATGTTCAGATTGTCCTCTCCATCCAATTTGCTTTCTTAATTTTAGTGTTTCAAATATGTATTCAGAAGCAGTCAAAGCTTTGAGGCACGTCATTTAAAACACCCATGATACACAGAAATGTTGCTCTCACTGTAGGGCTCAAACTGTTGTTAATAATGAGAACCTTCAAAGTAATGGGCTCTGGCCTTCCACCTTCCCCTTAAAGGCCCCACTGTGGAAGAAACCAAAAGCTGTCCCTAAAATGATAAATGGACATCATTAATGTTGGTCATCTGTTTACCTTTTACTCTGCAATCTGGGAAAATGAGGGGTCAAAAGCAAAGTGGAAATGTGCTTACTTTGGCACCAGTTCCTAAGAGCAACCCGTTTGGTCTTCAGAACATCAAGAGACACCGCAGCCTGCGAGAGACGGACTTATGCAACCAGCTGACCTCCCCTCCATCACAAAGCCTTATCACCAAACCCAATTAGGGAAGATGTTTAGTTGACATTTTGATCTTCATATTCCAGATCAGTGAAAAGCTTTCAAACATTCTTCATATTTTTGAAGAACATCCTATGTTTTCATCGCTGCTCATAACAAGTGCTGCTATCTCAGTTAGCTGGAAGCAAAAGCCATTTTCTCTTTTAAAATGGATTTCATTAAAGATACATCAATCAACTTGAAAGTGTCTCCCTTGAATAAATAAAAATGACATCTTAGCAAGATACATTTTTCTTTTCACACACAACAACATGAAGACACATGTTTCACACTATCATTGTGGTTTCAGCAGAAGCAATGAGGGCCTAAAGGTTGTTTCATGACCCGACAGCACCAGCGATCCCTCTTCTCCTGGGATATGCCTTCACTCCAACCATCTTGTTTGTCTTCTCAGCGAGTGTTTATACTGCAAACATTTTCCGTCATCTTAATAAACCCTATCAGCTTGTGCACCTTTAAAAACACACGTAGATCACTGGGCAGATGGCAAGACGTCTGGAAGAGCCTGGCAGCAAATTGTGCTGCTGTTGGCAGAAAGAAGATGATAAGCGCTTCTTTTAAAAATATTTGATGCAAAACCTGAACTTCTCTTGCACAACAACAGCTTAACTTTATTTTAGCTTTGGGTTGATGTGTAAATGTAACCTTCCAAAATTGAGAAAGCCTGTGAGAAATATTGGGTGGTTGCTTAGTTTTCTGCAGCAATATGGTGGATAAAACAGTACAACGGGATAAAAGAGAAAAACTCTTTATTCCAGTTCCCACGAAGAATCACTGTTCACTTTGCTTTAATTCTATCCTTGAATTTCCGAAAAGTATCCATCATTTAGAGATACGATTTAGAAAAGGACTTCTGTTAGACTGCCCAGCATAATTAGAGGAAATGTCTTTCCCAATCCCTGCTTGTTTGCTCTCACTGATGCTCTGTCCAGGATGATGGTAATGGGGGGATGGTTTACTCTGCCTAAAGTGTCTGAGATGTTTAGAAACACCACACTCCTGAGCGTGGTCTGTACAATAGCAAGAGCCAGTAGAGCTATTCAGCACTGTTGAAGGAATGTGTGGAAGCCCACAAGGAATCCTTTCGTTCCAGGGTTTCTCCAAACACAGAAGTTTCACACTGAAGATTAACTCTATGTGTCAACAGTAATGGAATCTCCCTTTCTGTCTCTGCAAATACTACAGCCTCTGAGGAAAATCTCCTCCTGGGACAGCAATGAGTTTGTCACCACAGCAAAACCTCTCTATATGTTTACCTTGCCTGAATAGCTCTCAAAGAAAGTCTTGAGAAGAAGTCTGTGCTCTACATCTACCTGTGGTATTGTCTAGAATTAAGAAATAAAGTATCACCAGCAGTGCTATAATCTCTGATAACCAATTAGAGCATCACATACATTGTCATTACACATTGGAGTGTATATATAATAGGAGGCAAGAAACAAATCTGATCAGTGAGCTGTATGAGAGCAGATGAAGCAGAGCAGAGAGGAGAACAGGGAAGGGGAGGAGATTTAAATGGCCAGCTTGTGAAAAAGGTAGTGTGGGGGCAATTAGAAGCAAGACCGGAGCTCAGAGCAGGACTGGAAACTGAAACTGTCGGTGCAACTTTACGCACGGGGCGGATCGTCACACGTTTTTTGGACTGAATAGACTGCTTTTTTTACGTTTTGCCATGAAATTGTTTTGTCAAAACTGGCTGCCATATTATGCTGAAAGGTCGTTTTAGGACTTTTGCTTTGACCTGAGTTCGCCTGTGGGCCTTATTTATTGATAAACACAATCCACTTGATCAGGTTACACGCGGCGTCAGAGCTACGTGACTGCACTCATTCTCAACATGAAACCAACCGGGAGTGGATGAGTAGGAAATTCCCCGGTCAGCATTTTTTTCTCCTTTTCTGAGTAGTGTGGCACTTTAGTTGGATTGTTTCATTGTGTGCACCGGGAGCCATCATCCCATCTCCACTCGCAGACATCGCGAAATGAAACTCGGTCTCGTCATCCAGACTGCGGTGACGCTTTATCTGCTGCTCTCACCTGCACAGGTAAGTTACATTCAGTGACTATTGCTGCTCAGCAAGAAAGAAACATCTTGAAATTATACTCACCACATATATGTTTTAATACTTTAGTTGGATTATGTGGTTCTGCTACTATGACAGTTACAAACTATTAAGTGATATGGAATATTAAACAACGTGCTTTTTGTGATATGTTCATGTTTGTATAATTGAGTCAACAGAAGCCTGTTGATAATATACAAGTATTGTGCTTTGAAGCCTTCGTACCGTTTTTATTGAGCACCATGCTGCTCCGCTCATTCATAAGATGAAACGTGACAAACTGCATGCTCTGCAGCCTGTGGTGGGACACATGATACATAGTGACTCACCGTTGTGTCTGGCGAATCTCGCTAAACTTATAATTACAGCCGAATCATACTTTTCACAGACATGGATTCAATCTTGCATTTTTTTTTCTTCTTTTCTTCCTTTTCTTTTCTGTTTTTCCTTTTTTTTTGCATTTTAAATTTCCATCAAAGGAACACTCTTGATTTCTGAGAAATTCCTTAATCAAGCAAACATTAAATGTTAATACCTGTAGTTTTTAAACAGATACTGGTGAACTGGCAAGCTGATAAACCTGAAAGTGTTGGCAATGCTTCAAGGACAGGAAAGCAAGTTTACTCCTACATTTCCTCATCTTTCATCTGCACCTGCAGCTTCTCCTGCTGTCTTGAATCGTCTCAGCAATGCATGCATACATCTGCATGTTTAATGGAGTGGAAATAATCACAATAATACAGATGAACCAGTGAGTGAGTGAGTGAGTGTGTGTGTGTGTGTGTGTGTAAAAAAATATATTGAAGCTTCATTTCAGGCTAGTCATATCACTGTCAGGCTTGCAGGGAATGACAAAGATGTTCTGTTGCCTGGCATTGCCTTTGAGTCTTACAATGAGAATGTGCCATAATAGGACAGAGCTGAAACTGGAGTGAGAATCGCATTCAAAGGCCTGTGAAGAAACACTTGTTAGAGGATGTGCCATTGGTTAGCTGATCTGGTGCCAGCGTTCAGGCTCCTGAACCCATTCAGTCTCTGATTTCCTCCCAAGGTGGCTGAAGGCTGGCAGCTAAATCTGATGGCTCTCATGTTTAATGCAACACCAGGCCACTTTTGCGTTCATTCAGTCCTACTGTCACACTTCATACACTGCTGCTGCCAGTTGAACGAAATAACGTCTGTTGTAGTTTCCCTTTTGCCATGGTTGAAGTCCACATGTAGACGTAGATGTGGAGTCAGGTCTCTCAAGGTTGGAAAAAGCTCCATGTCCCACCAGATTCTCAGGCCGAGTCTTTACAGCTGTTGCTGAGCTGAGAGTGAGTGGGAGAGGCACGGGATCACCACATCTCTACTAATCCTCATAATCAGCTCATGGCCTGCTCAGTCAAAATAGAAGTGACAAAATCCAGGTCCTTCAACATGAAGCAGGTTAAACGGCCCCCTGCTGCTCAAAAGACTGACAGCATATGTAAACCATTCAACTCTGAGATTCAACAAGCTTTTAGCTCATCCTGTCTGTGAGGATCTGACCTTTTTATTTTGTAAGTCTTTCTCTAAGCCTTTAGTTGTTAATAATTGCTTCATGCTGAAAAAACAACTTGAAAAAGGAAGGTATAGCTCTGCTCTTTTGCTTAAGTGCAAAGACACACTGAAGATTCAGCCATAAAAACGTTAAAGGAAATATTTCAAATTTTTCGCAGGCAAGCGACAGTCTGCTTGCCGCTCTTTACACGCCAGAGGGTCAAAATGAGACTCATCTAGTAAGTGTCCGTCCTGCCAGCTCCAACAGTAAACTGTTTAGCATACCAATGTGGAAAAAGCCAACATCGGCAGTATGGTTGATATTGTAATTTATACATGTCTGTCTTTGGATTCACTAGCCATAAATATATGCCAGTAATTGAAAATAAGTATTTCTCATCACTGTCGCAGCTGGAGCGGCTGTCAGCAGCCTCGTGACTCATGCCGTCATTCATGTCCGCTGAGTAGCCAAGAGGGAGGGTGGGGTTAACCTCATGTGCTTAATAATTCTGCTTTACTACCAGAGATTTACAGCAGAGCTCAGTGTGTGTGTGTGTGTGTGTGTGTGTGTGTGTGTGTGTGTGTGTGTGTGTGTGTGTGTGTGTGTGTGTGTGTGTGTGTGTGTGTGTGTGTGTGTGTGTGTGTGTGTGTGTGTGTGTGTGTGTGTGTGTGTGTGTGTGTGTGTGTGTGTGTGTGTGTGTGTGTGTGTGTGATAGATTAATAAAGTCATGTCTATTTACCAAATAGCCCAAAGTGGGATTTTTCCCCTGCTGTTTTTGAGTATTTTTAAAGGTCAGTATAACATCAGTTCTACATAGCACTAAACAAGCAGTCATTTGGGTGTACTTATTTAAAAATAAGTTAGGGTGAGTATAAAGTTTGCATTTGAGGAAATAATTGCTGCTGAGAATACATATTAAGCTTCTAAAGAAAGTGCTAAAGACATCATACAGTACCACCATCATTGGGCTTTAGTTAGTGAGTAAGCATTTGCCCTAGAAACAATATTTTTATTGTAACGATTATCACAACAGAACACAAATTGTGCTTTGTATCATGGGATGCATCCTCTTGAAACTGTCATGGTCCCATTAATGGCTCTCGATGGAGGGTGGAAGCACCTGGGCTTCCCTTTGGAACAATGGTGGCCTCTCGGTCACTGAGTTACCAACATAGTCCACCCCCTGTTTTGTTCCTCGACACTCTCTCCTGTTCGGTCTATTATTGGGACTTCCTATGCACATTAACCACATACTGTATATATGTGTGTGTGCGTGTGTGTGTGTGTGTGTGTGTGTGTGTGTGTGTGTGTGTGTGTGTGTGTGTGTGTGTGTGTGTGTGTGTGTGTGTGTGTGTGTGTGTGTGTGTGTGTGTGTGTGTGTGTGTGTGTGTGTGTGTTACAGTTACAGTTACAGTTACTGTCTGTACTTCTATCTGCAGGTCAAAAGCGATATGTGTAAGTCTGTCATACCTGTTGCCTCCTGCCCATTTGGTATTTTTCCCCACCTTATTAATATGAATGGAATGGAATGGTCTATGTGCAATACCTTCTTTGTATTTGCATGTAGGTGAGTGCAGGTAAAATCTTGCATCAACATAGCCAAACTTGACAGACACTAGTCAGCATAACCTCTTGAGATCATGAAACGGTTTGTATGTAATACAAAATACTCATGTTACCTTTGATAAAAAAAGGAAGGCAGTGAGCCCTTGCTTCGCCTCTTGCATGTGTGTGTGTGTGTGTGTGTGTGTGTGTGTGTGTGTGTGTGTGTGTGTGTGTGTGTGTGTGTGGTGTGTGTGTGTGTGTGTGTGTGTGTGTGTGTGTGTGTGTGTGTGTGTGTGTGTGTGTGTGTGTGTGTGTGTGTGTGTGTGTGTGTGTGTGTGTGTGAGAGAGGACATGACATTACACAGGTGTTTCCTATACGCCAGCACCAAAACAATGCTTGAGTCTGACCATCTGCATAAGACACATGTGTCTGTTTTTGTTCATGTGTGTTTTTCTTATAACTAGGCAGGTGTAGATGGCACGATGTCACATTTATAGTAGTTACAATAAAGCATCTTCAGCGAAAGCTTCTCATAAAACTTCAACAGTAAACATAAGGTTTACATAAGGATTCCGCTTCTGAGAATCATAAGCGCTGCTTTGTGTCTTTCTCATACACTTGTGCATTTTTTTGTTCAGCTGTCTGCATGCTGGGCCATGCAGTGGCAGTGACCTGCTGACTCTTATTTGTGGTATTTCTCTCTAGTTGTAATGTCCCGGCCCAAGGGAGGGCCACAATCGCAATCAGGAAATATGGATTTCTCCTTCCTCCTGCAGAGGAGGAGGAGCGGTGGCGCTCGGGGCAGCCGTCTACTCGGCAAGCTTTAATCTCCCATCTGGATGTAATTTACTGTGGTTTACACAGGGAGAACAGCGTTTACTGTAATAGAGACCACAATTACCACCGGTCAGCCTTATCTCAAGACCTGTGCCGTGTGTGTGTGTATGTTTGCGGACAGGGTGCATGGTTTATACACTGGTTGTGTGTGTTTGTGTGTGTGTCTTAAGGGGGACATTTGTGCATCCATTAATGGTCTTATACTGAGGAAATGGTCTTTATCTAAATCAGCGTTTATATGGACTTTTACTCCGCCCATTCACCTTATTTTGCTGTTGTTTTTTCAAAACACTAGACTCTTTCAAGAAAACATGATCGCTTGTAATGTTTTCAAACTAACAACCAAGTATTTTCTATTTTTATTTTAAAGATTAGTCTTAAAAAGAGGAGTCCTTCAGCCAATGTTTGCCTTTTTTCAAATGTTCGCCTTTATACAGAGAGGTAGATGGTACATGTGGTAGATTGCTACCTCTCATATTTGTGCATTTAATAAACAACGAGTCAGTTTGCATATGTTAGAATTAAAACATGCCTGTAATCTGTATTCAAAAACTGAAGTGTAAAAACAAAAAGGTTTAGTTTTACCAGTCAATTTTTTAAGTCAGGCTAAGAACTTCAATCAATATTCTCATCTAACTCTCAACCGGAAATGATTTATACCAAAATGCCGAACTATTACTATGTTGTGTTTCACTGCAGTGGAAATGTACTTTTAAGGTTTAGGGCTTATTTCAAAATCATGCAGGAAGAGATTTGTGTGTTAACACTACTTTGTGGCTTTGAATCTGTATGGCAGCTCAACTAAAAGTGTGTCTAATCTGTGGAATAACTCTGCACTTCAAAGGCTCCATTCACCCAGATAACTTGAGAAAGTATTTTGGCAGGTTTCCCACATGTTCTGTTGAAGTTTGTTGGTGTTTTGGCAGAGCTCTATGATCACAAGCCCTGACCTGACCACCCTAGAGACCCAGCTGGATACTGTCAGACCTGTAAAAGCACCGCTGTCGTTGTAGGTTCGCCCACCTCCTGTATACAAAACAGAACCTGCTTTCTTTTGTAGTGGCGGAGAATAGATAC